AATTTTACGTTAATCAATGTTGTTGCACCTAACTGTGCAGTTTGATCATTAGCTGCTCTAATTTTGTTGATCAATCACCAAACTTTCAACAGTCTTAGCAAAGCATAAATCTGACTCAGTTATACAATATCACTGAATAAGGACTCATTTTGGGACAACCACATTCAGCTGAATCACTTTATATGCTGAAGCAGGAAAAATAAGGTGTGTAGAGAATATGCAGAGATATCAGCAATTTTGATAACTTTCATAGAAAAATGTCCAAGTAATATGTTGTAAATCTCTCCTAGTGCAATACTCACAACAGGATTGTTAAAGGGGCATGGAAGATCTTGATACTTATACTGTAAATATATTTTGGCCATGGCACCTGGTGTAACACAGTTTGGCAGCCACAAGTATTTCAGAGACATAAAACCATCAGGTTGTGGGGGGAAAAATAAGTATCAGGTTTCAGGGGGAAGAAGAAAAAAACGGTATTTACAGCTTTAAGGGAAAGGGAAATGAAATTATTCCTTGGGATGAACCATTTTCAATTACAGCCTGACAAAAAGAGAATAACTTAAACCCGAGGTAAATTAAAATGGCTAAGTATTAAAACTAAAAATAGACTTTTAAGGAGAAGCCTTCACAGATGGAACTTTAACTGCACAGCACAGCCGGGTGCTGTTACAACAAGCTTTTTTTATTATTATTAACTTTGATCAAAGCTTATTAACCAGCAGCACCAAGCCATCAGTGGATTGGCCTACACAGGAGAGCTAATTAAATTTAAAGGGCCACAGAGTCCTGAAGGCATAACACACAATCCCCAAGGCAGGAGCTTGAGTGCAGAGGGTGAGAACATTTGCATGGTGAGGCAGTGAGAGATGGCAAGGTGCTTGTTCTTATTTACTGTGGGCTCTGCAGAGAGTTTAATACAACCAATCCTGAACCTGTCCTCATCATCAAACATGCAGAAAAGCGTGGGCACTGAATGTCTAGGGAAATACGGAATATTTCCACACACCTCGGCAAGGAACACAGATCGTAAAATTTTATTTAATCCAAGAGGGGAGATCATGACATCCCTCCTTACCCTAAGGAGAGGTAACTTCTACCAATTATAATGTGAAATACAGCTAAAGGATTTAGAGACAAGAGAAAATAGAACAGGATGCAAGCTGACTGCAAATTGGTGCACAGCAGCCTTGTTTTGTCCAGAGGCAGGCACATACAATAGCATTTAAAACTGACAATAACAACAATAAATCATACAACAATTTCTTCCATTGCCTACATCCCACCTGCTACGTTATCCTTCATATCTACAACAGATTGCAATAATTACATCTTACCCTGCAGTTTTGTCATGTATGTGGGAGGAGGAATAATATTCTCTTTTCTGGTCACTTTCCAGGCACTGTGAAGAGTAAACTATTACCCTCCATCTACCTTTCAAGCTCCTGGGAAGGCAGCAGAGAAGGGAAACATTTATCCCATCCTTGCTCATGTTTTAAAAGGCCCCCTGACACGTGGGCCACTAAAACATTTTTCAATTAATGAGTTGATTTGCAGGACAAAGCCATCGTTTCCAACCATGACATCAAATTAAGATTTATCAGTCTGATATTGTCATTTCAAGATCCCTAGGAGGAAGGGCTCAGTAGCTGGAGTAAACAAAACCTGTAAAATTCAGCGCAGGGGGGAAGAAAGAGGAATTGGTAACAGCTGGGTTGTCCTTACCCAGAATAAGGGTTTCTGTGTCCTAAAATGACAGAAACATCTTGCATCAGTGTGGTGGCATCATGCTGAGTCACCCACTCACTCCTGTGGGCTAAGAGAAACACAGGGTGGCCATTGCTGGGGTTTGTGGTTTGTTTTGGGGTTCTTTTCTCCCCTTGGAGACCAACTGTGTCCAGTTGGCACCAGGACATGGAGGGAACCACAGCCCCTATCCCACCCCTCACCTTCTGTGATATTCACAGGTCTGCTCCAGGTGGGGGAACTCTGTTGAAGCACCAGTAGAGAAAGCAACAACTACAACTCACAGAACCTCACCCACCCTGGAATAAAACCTGGAGCTAAGCAAGACCAGCCCTGTCCTGCTCCCAAGAAACATTCCTGACACTCCATCCATGAAGAACAGCAGCAGGATTTCCTTAATTTCTTCCTCCCTCTCTCAAGCAGGAGCTCAGAGGCATTTCAAGGAGCTGAAACGTCATCTGTAGCTGCTGCTGCTTCAGAATTTATTAAACTGCAGTGAGAGCTGGAGTTCCGTGCCTTTCTCAACCTCACATTCACAGCCCTAAATAAGATCCCAAATAAATTCCCCCCGTGCTCACAGCATGATGGGCAAAACTCTTGTATAGGATCACACACAGTATTATTTACAAATGTATTATTATTTATAAATGCTGTTCTTTTTCTAAAGGGTGTAATTCTCATCAGCTGTTTTTCTGAGTGCTTTAAATACTCACTAATTCAATTTTAATTTCTTCCTTTACAATACAAAGCATTAACTACATCAGTGTGTAGGCAAGAAAAAAACTACAACGTTTACAGTTGATCTTTGCTTTAAACTATGAAGCAGAAACTGTTGTGAGAAAGCAAACCATAAATCAAACCTACAAATAGTACTGGAAATGCCAAAAAAATAATAAATTTTAGGTGAACTTTTAGGCTGTAGATTCTGTCCCTTTACATAATCATTCTTACTCATTTTCTTAATATTTTTCTTCATTGGATTGTGTTACAATATTTGCATCAGATCAACATCAGATTGATATCTAAATAAGTAATTCAATTTTCTTTTGATAAACATTAGCAGGTATTTCTTCCATGCCCACTGAAATACCCTGGTATCTCTTGAGTGCCCCAAAAATTCAGGGAGAAGAACAATTATTGGTGGTTAAATAAAACCTTCAGACAGTTTTACACTCTGCTGTTCAACAAATCCTGATTTTTTTTTTTTTTCTGATTTTGCAACATCTGATTTCACAGCTTCTGTGTAACATCCTCCTGAGTTGCTAGGACTGAATTATGTTGTGATGGAACCACCCCAAGTTTTCCCCTCACGGCTGCTTTTTCAATGAATAGTGAATTATTCGGACATGCACATGTATAAATGCATTTTTGCTGTGCATCTATGTGTCCCTACCACACCTGCCTTCACTTTCCATCAAAGAAGTTTTTTAATTATAATCTCTCTTGATTGTGGGTTTCACCAATATCTACTAAAACTACCTCAATGATCTTCTAATTCTCATTGACTCCTGCAATGATATTTCAAGTCCAAAAGGAAAAGAAATACAATGATGGACTAGGAGATAGGAAAACAAAGATAAACAGAACAAAACCCCAAGTATTATCTGTTTTATCTTTTATGTCTTACAGATCTTGATGCTTCATGTAGCTTTGAGCTTCATTATCCACTCTTTCCACTCATCCCTGAATCACTATTTTCTCCCTAAAAACATGGTCTGCCTCTTGCTGAGTGTGAAAATTCCAGGACAGACTGCAGATATTCAGCACCCAGCTGTGCTTTCCCATTGTTCACTGAAAGAGAAAGCTGTGCACAAAGGAAGAGCACCACACTGACCTCAGGGATACTCATTGTGTGACCCAAAGCAGTCACTGCATGGTCTTCTTGTTATCTGCAAGTTTTGCATCTGACCTCTTCCAGTCTGCACCAAAACCCTGAGGACTGCATCCCTCAAAGGTAAAATAAATTACATTTTTTGCTTGCACCTCAAATAGAAGCATGGTGTATTTTCCTGTGACACTGATCAGTCCAGTCCCTCACAATTGCCTGGGAAGGGCAGTGGGTGTTGTTTTCATTATTAAATAAATATCTCTGTCTCAAAGCTCTCACTGAGCTGGTTAGGCTCCACTGAACTTAGAAGAAGACTCCACACCTTCCACCTTTCCTTGCCTTATCACAAAACAAAATATTTCTCGTCATGCTACCTGAACTCCATTTCTGGAGGGCACAGTGCAACAATTAAATTATTTCTTTCTGTGATCCCAATTTTTTTCCACTTGCCTGAAGCTCTTCCTACTTTATATAAAGCCAGAAATTCCTCAGCAGACAGGCCCACGTGAGTGACAAAGCTGCTTGCCACTGGCAACAGGGTCCTGAACACTTCTGGTTCCCAATATGCACAGAAAATTTCTGCTTTACAGGAACACACTGTTGTCTGGATTACCTTCACCTATGGTGGAAATAAAAAGCTCCAGTGAGAGAACCCATAGCAAACTCTACAGACCAGAAGGGAAGTCTGTGTATGTATTTTTATACACGTATATGTATATATCTATACATACATATAACCATATAACAACTATCAATGCAGTTTTGAAACTTTGATAGCATTTACCCCATGTATTCCCATTAGTTTATCACAAACATGCCAAAATTCTGATTCACAGTTAAATATCTTGTACTGTATAATGGGCCATCACTGCATCCCACACACTTTACAAGGCTTTAGTCCTGGAAAAATCCATCAGATTAAGTTTCATGAGCATCTTCACAAGGCCAAAAATCCTCTGACAAATTAAAGTGGATTCTGCTATAAATACATTTTCATTCCATTTATGCACACAGCTCTTTTTATAGCTGTTAAACCTCCTCTCTTTCCCTTTTTTAAACACTATTGGAACTGTCAGGAGCTACCTTTTACACTTTATCAATCATGGCACACACATCATGATTCCTAGAATTTAAAATGGAATTGTTGATGGTTCAGATACTATTAGACTGTCATTAGCTCCACAAAGTGTGTAATTTGTCACTTTGCAAGAAATGACAGTGCCTTCACTCGTGCAACATGCTTTTAAACCTCCCCTCTCTAATTTGAAAATGCCAGTATTGTACTCTGCTTCAGGAGAGGTATTTTTAAGGCTTGCTGGCTGGCTTGTCACAGATAAATGTGTCAGGTAGTATTTTGCCTTCCTCAAGCTTTATTCACACAAAGCCTGTCTGTGATAAAACAGGAAGACAATGCTTTCTGTCTTACCTGATGGCAACGAGGCCCCTGCTGGATTTTCACTTTCCTCATCAGTGCTGGCATCATAGTTGTCTTCTCTCTTTATAACCACCTGAGTAGTAGCTATACTATCCCTAAAAACATCAAAAGAAAGGGAAAGAAATTAAGGTATTTTTGCTTCTCAAAGGAATTAAATAATCCAGGGGGAATATGTATGGAATTGCCACCTATGGAAAGGGCAAGGGACATGATTGGAAAATCAACTGCAGCCCAGCAGAAAACAAGACAGATCTATCAGAAACTCATTTCTTGGCTACAGCACCCACAGCAAAATGCCAGAAAGAATCCTCCTCTCCCATGGCTTCCAGGATTGGTTTGGATAACCCAGCACTCAGCCAGGAAGAGCTGCCACTCACTGTCAGGGCCAAGGAGATGGAAACTGAGCTGAGCTAAACTCAAACGTGCACCAGGTACCACACCAAGAAACACAGGGAAATTAAATACCTTGAGCATTTGGCATCCCCTGTGGATTCTCTAGCTTCACTCAACAGCTTCTGCAGGTTTCTTATCTTTGCCTTCTTCTCATTCAGCACCACAACAAACCTGCTGTAAAGGTCAGCCTCCAGCTCCTCCTTAGCTTCCACGCATTTTTCCAGCCTGCAGCACAAAATTAACTGTTACACAAATTCTTCTTTTTCCTGGAAGACAATTCTGTCGTGAGGCCATCCAGGAATCCCCAGTCCAAGCCACACACAACTTGTCCAGCACCTTGTGTCTGAAACAGGCCAGAATAAACTTTTTTTTTTCTGTTGTTTTTCCACAGAGAAGTGCAATGAACTCTGCTTCCAAAAGGGAAAAGTTCCCAGATATGAACCTTTCTCTTCACGCCCATTTTTTTTTGGTAGGTTCTTGCACACCTCCATTTCAGACAACTGAAATGTAAATAGGCAAATGTTCTTTATTTTCAATGCTAAGGGCATACCTTAGCAGGATACACATAATGAGATTATAAACAGATATGATTCACCTTGACAGGTCTCAAATCTGGACCACACACTGGTGTGAAATATACTTGAAGAGAAAAAGAAAATTCCAAATTATAAAAATGTTTAGAAGCTCTTAATACCTTCAGAGGAAAATATACTTCAGGTTTTTTAAAAAAATTAGTATGCACCTGTGGGGAGATGAATGTCAATAAAAGGAAGCACAATGGGAGTATTAAATTAAGAATATAGGTGTATAAAGTCTCACAATCAAAACTGGAATACAAGCAAACCTGAGCACACAAATCAAGTGGTTTGTGGCAAATGTAATTCTGTATTTAATTCTTGTATTTCACAACCTTTCAGTCATTGGATTGAACCACAAACATTTTACTAGCTGTGTACACAAGAAGAAAATAAATATCTTGATAATCTCACTGATCATGGTACATATAGTAAATAGTCATAATTTAACATTTTTTCACCAGCCTGTGCAAGGCTGTAAAAAAAGTTTAGAAGGCTTATTATGCTATTAAACCCAGACATGTAACAGACTTTAAAAATATTAATTTATAAGGCAAGAGATTTAAACAGACTTCCTACATAAATACTAATTACTTTGTTCACAGATCAAAACCATATACGATGTAAGAAGCAAGACAATAGCAAAAAAAAAAAACCTCCTGATTTTTTATGTTGTGGTGAAATGTGTGAAATCTCATGAAGTATTAAGCCTACTGTTCAATGCTTTGGGGATATGCTTGATAGTTGATAAATAATTCATCTAATTTAAATGCAAATAGCAGAACATCATTACCATATAGATCAGTTCAATAATTCCTAAATGAAAGATCATAGGTACTAATCAACTACCAGGAGACTTTCCACCTACAAAAGGGAAGTTAACTGTTTAGTGGGGAATAAACAGACAATCCACAAAGAATCATAAACCCTAATGCAGGGCCCAGAAGAGCCTGGACACGCTTGATACTAATTATTTCCGTATACATAAAAATGAGGGGGGGAGAAAGGATTTTGCCTAAAATATGCTAATCTTGTCTGTATCAAATCCTGTGGAATAATCCCTTCTCCCACACATAAACCAAGGAAAGTGGTTGCTCTCTGCTGAGGCTGGTTCAGATATTGAGAAATGTGGCTGTCTTGGCCAAAAAAGTGCCATTTAAGATAATTCCAGTGAGGCCCTCGAGTGCTGCAAGGACATCTCTTTATGAAAGCCCATGCCAATGGAAACTTCCAGTGAAGTAGAGCTGATGCTGCCTGGACTGTGACTAGTGCAGTGGAGAAACCTACTGCAAGAGTAGCCAATTTCTTCAGTCTCTGGAGAAAAAAAAATTAGCATCTTGAACATTAGAATTAGAATATTAACTCTTCCCTCTGGGCAGAACCAATTAGTAGTATGCCATCAGCTAATCTTATATGATTGTTTTCATTTATGAGAACACCTTTTTTTGACCTTTTTTTGCCTCTGTTATTCAAAGCTATCCACTTCCAAGTGCATTCTGCAGACACAGAATGGCATTAATTTGGCAAAACACTCACTGTGAGAGCACTGAACATCACAGAAGCATCACATTGATGCTGTACTAGCAAGTTATGAGCCTTTAAAACCCACTATTAAACGGCACACCTGACACTTTAAAGGAGGCTGGTAAAAGGCAGTGGTCTTGGGGACAGAGATGCATTAATGGTGCAGGTGGGGTGTCTCTGTGGAGGATTCACTGAGGTATTCACCCCTTGAGCTACGTGAGCACAGGGCAGAGCTGGCTGCGTTTCATTCCAACACCTCAGTGGCTGCAAACACAAACTTTTAATTGCCATTCCCCACGTGCTGCTGCCTCTGCATGCCCTGTGCCCCTCAAAGAGCATCTCCCCAGGCCAGGTGGAGGAGCTGCTCCTCTCACAGATGAGCTCCCAGCCCCAATGGGGGTCAGTTTTTTTGGAGTGGTGCCTCCCAATTTGTGCGTCCTCAGGTCTCTCTGCAATGCTTTTCACGTGCCAAAATGCACCCAAGGTGGCAGGCATTAAACATCCTGCACAGCCCAAAGAAACCAGGCACTGTGACAAGCCATAAACTGAGAAATTGATAATAAAAACCAAGATTTCAAGAGCAATCACATATGCTCTGCAGAGGTGAACACGAAATATCAAACTTAATGGCATTTCTTTAATTACCAGTGGCAACTTTCACAATCCAACACTATGAAGGAAAGAATTCAGCATCTCTGGCATTCATCCCTGTTCCCAGTGCTCTAAAATAATTCCTGGATCTCACAGCACTGCTCCCTCGCATTTCAGATTCACCCTCCCCCCAGCACTGGCAATGGTATGGAATGTAGATGAGCTAATGCTGAAGACTCAGTTTCAAGCCCAAAGTACCTTACTTGCATTTTTATAATCTGCTTGTGGTTTAAATACACTGTCACTGCAGTTGACCACAACATAAATTGGCAGCTATTTTGAATTTGGCTTGTCTACACAAATTTTAGATGCCTGATAACAAAATACCCCATGCCCAAGCCAAAAACTGGATTTTTATTGTTCAAGGAGTTATTTTGCTACAGATTATTGTTACTTAAAATTTGCCACCTCCATCATCAAGGAATCAGAGATGGGTTTGGGTTGGAGGGACCTTAAAAAAGCCCAGCCAGTTCCACTCCCTGCCATGGCAGGGACACCTTCCACTATCCCAGTTTGCTCCAAGCCCCAATGTCCAACCTGGCCTGGGATGTACCAGCCTTGAATTTTCTATATGGAATAAAGAGAACAGCTATTCTGCTCAGGTATTTTAACTCATCCATCCCTGGAGAGCACACACACACACACACACACTCTCAACCCCAGGCAGCCACCTGCTCACCAAAACCTCCGTGATGGCCAAGAAAATTCGAACAGGGAGATGGAAATGGGATGATTGAATAATTCCACCCCAAGCCCCCCGACTCAGGGGCACAAAAGCAGCTCCGAGAAGCCTGCCTGCTATGTTTTAATTCTAATGAGGTCCCGAGGAGAGAGGCTGTGAGCAGAGGGAGCTGCAGGGGCTGTCCTGGCCTGGAGCTCAGCTCTCCACACCACGTGCTCTGTATTTGATGTTTCACCACTCAGCACCCTGAGTGGTGCAGGATGTAAATCCTGAAATCCTGCCTCCTGAACAAAGACAGGCACAGCTTTGTTCAGCTCGGGGCAACTCTCAGTGCTCAGAGCTGAAACAGCAAAGGGAGGCAGCAGCAGGGTAGAACTGGGAAGTGGCAAAAATAATTAAATAAAAAAAACAAAAACCACTACACCAAACTAAATTAAAAAAAAAAACAAAAAACAAACAACAAAAACCTCTCAAACCCCCCACCAAAAACCTAACAAAAAAGCTTAATACTTCTTGAATGAAAATTATTTTTTAATTACTTTTATTTTGCATTTAATAGACATGGCCAAAGAGGGGTGACCATAAATCCTTCAGTGTATATTTTGAAAATCCATTTTTCATCTGCTCAAAACTACGAACATGCTAAAGAAATCCACCAGCTTGCACTGAGAACAAAGTCATGCAACTCTGATTTTTTTGCTTTGTTTTTTTCTTTTTCCTCCTTTTCTTTGGGGTTATTCTGTAAAAAGTACCACCCCACCATGGAAATTGATACAAGCACTAATGCCTCTTACACATCAGCGTGTAATGCAGTACAGAACACGGGTTATACAATACACTATTGTTCAATTACACTGTTAAGCAGTAAAACACTACTTAGGGAGGCCCTCTGCTTGTCAGGGAGACTGTCAGGAGAAACTGTTACTCATTTTAATGAGAGGGGAACAAAACTAACTCCTCCCCAAAAGTTGGCTCTCTTTTTCAAGGTAAATTAAGGCAAATTAACTGCATTCTTTCATCAATCTTCCTAGATTGTGTGTTTTTTCAGGTAAAGTTAGAAAAAAGCAAGATGAATTTCTGGCTGCTCTATGCTGACTGAAACTAGCATAGATTATTTCACTACAGAATGATAGACAATTGAGATAGCAATTACAAAAATCTCTTGAAAAATAATGGTACTTTTTTCTACAATACTGCACTCATTTTTCAATTCCAGCTTCTTCAACAAAGAAAACAAATGGAAGAGACAGCAATTTATTCCTCACTCAAAAATGTGAACAATTTCCAGTGCCAGTCCTAAGAATTATAGGAAATAATATTAATGAAAAGGCTTCCTAAAGAAAAGGAGGCTAATTCCACAGATTTTGAGGTGTTTGGGGTTTTTTTTTCTAACTCATAAGCTAAAACCACCTTTAATTGCACATTTTTAGTATCAGTTGCATCTTTTTCAAAGGGAGGAGATCCACAACCACATGGGTTGCATAAAAATTGCATAAAAATTTCTGTCCACTGCTACTGAGCTTCTCAGGTGAATCCACCTGAGAACTCACCTCTTCTCCACGTCACTCCAGTTGCTGAAAAGCTTTTCATTTTCTCTCTGCAGATGCTCAGTTTTGGCTTGCAGCTTTCCCAGGCTGTCCAGGCAGTAACCAATGAGTTCCTTGACCACTTCTGCTGGGCTTGGGACTTCCTGCAGCTTCAGAGATCCAAGTCTGAACTGGGACACAAGGAAAGAATGAGTTATTTCAACAAGAAACTTCTTTGTAAGTTTTGAGGCTTTGTAAACTTGAATACATCTTTAATAAGCATAAGAAATACCTTACAGTCCTCCAGTTCAAAGGGAGATAATAAATTTGTCATGAAGAGGATGGAGGAATATGTCGAATAATCTACATGTTAATTATTTCCAGAGGGCCAAAATGTTGAGAAAGGGTCTGGAACATCTCTGTGCTGGAGGAGGGAAGGGGAGAGGGGATCCCATCCATCCATCCATCCATCCATCCACCCAAGCATCTCCAGGGCTGCCAGAGGATGGGGCCGGGCTCTGCTCAGTGCTGCCAGTGGCAGCAGGAGCAGCAATGGCCATCAGAGAAAGGGCAGGCAGTGCAGCCCAGCAGGAGGAAGAACTTGTGTGCACGGAGGGGCAGAGCCCTGGAACAGCTGCCCAGGGAGGGCCTGGAGTGTCCCTGTGTGGAGCCATGGCAGCCCAGCTGGACACGTTCCTGTGCCACTGCTGCAGGGGAGCCTGCCTGGGCAGGGGCATGGAGCACAGCATCCCCACAGCTCCCTCTCAAACACAAATATCCTGGCGTTCTGGGATTTTTTGTGATTTATGCAGCTAAAATGAACAATCTAGCCAGCAAGTTGTCACATCCGGGGTTCAGACAGCACGTTCCTAATCATGAAAGGACTCCTTCAATTAAACAGGCAGCCTCACCACTCCAGTGAGATTGGAGGATCTGCAGTGATCCACTGTGTTTCTTCAGCAAGGGGGATGCCCTACAGGACATACAGGAGGCCTGAACATATTTGTGTTGCCAGGTCTGGGACAAACAACAGAAAACTGGTTTTTTTTGTCATGTTAAAGGAAGAATAGGTCAGCCATACATACACACCAGTGTCTGCTGAGCTATAACTATGCAAACCTGGGTGAAGAAACATTAATATCCATCACAATAGTTTGAGGGAGTGGAAGGAGAAGGGGTCCTCTCTCCCATCTTGAGATTATCAAAAAGACTGGCATAAATTTTGTAGCATTTCCCTATGGAGAGAAGTATTACCCATCTTTTCAGTTTGAATACACAGCTATAATATCTTTAAAAAGCATAAACGTAAGTGCTACACACTAGGGAAGAGTTCACTCTGTGTTGTGGCAGCTCACTATGAAAATCAGAAATGCAGTTTGATTCGTTTTTTTCCCCATTTTACTTAGGAGAGCATGGAAAATGACATAAAAGACATCTATATATAAAAACCCTATTATTTGCTAACTTTTTAAAATGCAAGTTTCTCTAATGCCATGCATAAGTTTTGGCTGAAAAATGGCACCGTAAAAGCTGCTCACAAAGCTTTCAAAGACATTGTTTGAAACAAGGAACAGTCCTTCCACGCAGACCTTTTATGTGTGGAAGTCCCTGCCACAACACATGATACCATCCTGACCTCCTGCAGCAAGGTCAGCCTGTCAGAAAAGGTGGAAAACCCAAAGGTTTAATTCCCAATTAGCCACCAAATTCACGTGTGCTGTCTCTGAAGCATTGCTGTCCTTAGCTGGTGTACATCTGATGGCTACAGATGAAAAGATGCTTTTAATTTATTTTTGGAAATTAGATTACACTATCAGTAGCCCACAGATTGGCGTGCACCCCCTGAATATCACACTTGGTCTCTGACAGCATTAACAAAGATGGACGTTTGTGTAAAAGGAAACTGTTTTTCATCACTTGCAAGCCACCACCACGCTATTTGGATAAAGAATTCACAGAGATAGAGAGGCACAGTAGCACAGATAAATACCATCACAACCTTTTACAGTGAAGGAAATAACAAGGAGAGCACATCATTTTTGTTTTATGCCTTAATACATTCGACTGAGATCAGGTATAGGCAAATATATTTAATCAGGGCAAAAAAAATTCACAGTTTTCACTGCACAAAAAGAATAAAAAATGCATAATCTTAAAACAGGTTTAAGTGAGTAGCAGTAGAGTTATTCTGAAAGCCCAATACCACTGCACAACCAAAATCATGCCAGACACACAGCAGACACTCCAAAAGCAATTGTAATTATAAAAAAAAAGAAAAAAGGAAACAAAACAAACAAAACACAAACAAAAAAAAACCCCAACGAAACAAAAACAAGCAAACAAACAAAAAAAAAAAAACCCACCCAAACAAACAACTCCACTAAAACAACAAAAAAAACCCAAAAACCAACACTGCTAGAGGGACACAGAGTATTGTGCCCATCTTTGCAGGTGCTGAAGTCCAACACTGATGGTTTATCTTCAGTTTAGCCTTTAGCTCAGTCTTTATGGAAAACAATCGACTATTACCTACTTTCTCACAATAAAATTCACTGTCCTGCTTCTGTGTCTTAGACACTGAGACCTGTGGACCATTTCTAGGAGGCCCACAAAGGTGAGCAGAGCAAGCCCATCACCAAGGGCTTAAATTTATCATGAAGGTGCTGACAAATCAACTAAAAAAAGGGGGGAAAAAATAGGTTTTCTGCAAAACAAATGTTCTTCTGTTTCTTCTCTCCTCCCCTAATCTTCATTTATCCAGCTACCTCCAAGAAAACACAGAATGTTTGGATACAGCCCTAATTTAAAAAAAAATAAAAATAAGAACAGTGTGACAGCCTGGAATAGTGGGAGGTGTTCATGGCCATGGAAAGGAGTGGAATGAGATGGGCATCCCAAAAAGCACCCTGTGGTTCCATGATCCTGACACAAAGTGCACCAAAAACCCCCTTCCCCGAGGCTGTTCCTGCAGCAGGGAATTGTTTTACACCCCCTTTTTTAACACACCAGCACTAACAATAGCAACGCTGCTATCTGGGCAAATTGCAGCTGAGTGGTGCTTGCCCCACCAGGAGCCCGGTGCTGAGAGGCTGATAAGCCAAAAAGGCAGCTGAATTCCCAAAGCAGGACTAAAACTAGGCAAAGGAAAAAGGAAATCTCAAGGCAGGTCTGCTCTGGAGTCCTGCTGGCATCCTGAACTGGAAAGGTGGTAGAGGGGAAGATGATAAAATAACACAATTTCACATCCAAGGACTCTGAATTTGCGACAGGCGTGTAAATTGCAGACAGAATTCTATTAAAATTAAATGCTGGGGGGGGGAAATATACAATTAAAAAGGAGATGTTCGTTTTTGCCACACACTGCTAAGATTTTCCTTGCAACTAAAGCAAGAAATGGTGCAGTTATTTGTCCTCCACCACCAAAACCACAGCAGGGAAACTGCAAACAGTTCTAGGGAGATGCAGTGGAGGTGGTTAAAGATCAGGATACCATTACAAACAGTTAACTGGGTGGGATATCAAGATAAACAGCTCTTGCTTACTGCAGGAGTGAAAGAAAACATCATTAACACCTCACTTAGATAATTTGACAAGCAACACGTCCTGGGTTTGGATAACGTTTCCAACGTGATTTTATAAATTTGCAACGGTGAATTTAAATTTTTTTTTGTTAGCTTTGTAAATTCCTGCACGTTGCTGCTCTCCAGATGAATTTAAATTTGTCACCATCCTTACGGCTGCTGTAGCTCTCTGGCTCTGCATCATCTGCAGATGTATCTAATGTGCTTTCTACTTCCCCTTTCAGATCATTCAAGAAAACATTATCTAAAACACTGAAGCACTAAACACTTCATTTATACAGAGAAGGAGCAGGTCTGGTAGAGGTCCCAGGGGACAACAGACTGACTGTGACTGATTCACTGCTGCCCTTCAGCATCTGTTTCATTGTTTGTGGGGATTTTATTTTTTCAAGTTTTTATTTTTCTAAAGGCACAGGAAGACGAACACAGAAGCATTTAGAAAACGGTGTTCCCTTAATCAGAAATCACTGTCATCACGTATCCACTAGGCCTGTATTCTGAGCTTAAAAAATAAAAACAATAATTAGAAGCTTATGACAAAAATGTCATTTTCCCCTGACATCTCGCCCTGCCCACTGTTGGTCTTCTAGAGATGAAGAAAGACGTGATCTCAACCATAAGACACAAAATAATTCAGAAATAACTGAAAAGGTTTCTCAAGTTTTCTTCTAGATGCTTATGGGAAGATGTGCTCCACATAAGAACATAACAGTTATTAAAAAAATAAGATAACACATTTTTCACAGAAGATGAAAAAACCTGAAAGTTACTTTATTATAGAGAGACAGTGGATTTTAATTTTGCATTAAGTAACACATATCTGCTCTATAATCCTTGCATTACAACAGTCCACTAAAAATGAAAGTTATGATATCCAAGGCAATAATTATCAGAGGCTATGCACTGAAAGGAGGAGACACTCACACAGTAATGCCTCTCTTCTGAGTCAGAATCTAAAGCTAAACACTAACAGTGAAGTTATTTCCAATAACAACAATTTTTCACTATGTCTATAAGAAAAAAAAAATCATGCTGGAAACTCTCATTACATCTGCTTTGCTGGTTGTGATTTCTCTCTGTATTAGTAAAATATTCTAACAACTCTTTCTAACAGTATTTTTTACCCACAATACACTTAAGGAATTCTATACTTCCACAAGGTGGGAAAAAAAAAATCAGATAGATTCTGTCCTTTGTTGTCTTGGCAGGGTATAGCATAGATTGATACAGATTATATGATATAGATATAGATGATATAGATGAGATATAGAATATATAGATGATATAGAGATACAGCTAGATATATTTATATATATATATATATATATATATATATATATGTGTGTGATGTGTATTTGTGAACCTCTCTCCTATTAAATCTTGACCCACAATATCTCAATTTTTCCTTCTCTGTTTTGAAAACTAATTAACAAATAATTTTTGGAGAGAGCACACTTGACAGGTGCTTAGGTCTGATTATGAAATGAAAATATTCCCAGAGTGTGAACTGAATAGTAGAGGTTTAATCACACAAGCCAACCTTGTACAGCCATTTACAGGCTCTAACTCAGCTCATTCAGCTTCCACTGCTCCAACCCCTGAGTGAGACA